ATTCACTAAAACAAAGAGACCTGACCGACTCTTTTAACGTCAACCCTTTATCCTCCAGAGGACGTACCCGAAGCAGACAGGCACAGGACCCACACATGGAAGCGTGTTGGTGGTGAGGAGATGTTGATACTTTCGTTTTGTAAACCTTACTGGGTTATATTTTTAGCCTCTACAGTGTATATAATGCCTGGTAATTTACACTTACACAAAAGTAACCACAAGATAAAGTATAGATACACTGTAATAAGTGAATCAGACCAAAATTTGATGTAAAATATTTTAAGTAATTATATACCTCATTTTCCACTCTTTTATATTTTTGGTTGACAAATAAGTACTGTATAATATTATCATAGCACCCTGTACTATACTGATTGTATTGCTTTAAGTGAAGATACTTTAAGTATTTATTTTGTAAGCCTTGAATGCATTGCAGAGAAAAACATAAACTTCAGAAAAATTCTACATTTGAGCATTCATTTTAAGAGTGAATACGGAGCAAGTCCTAAAGCAAAATACTTGAGCAAAATTTTGAATAAACTAATTTGACCAAATGAATCATTGTATTCTTGTTTACCAACTATAATCGACTGGGCCAAGCCAAAGTAGACGTATACTCCCGGGGTCATTTATTTTATAATGTTCTATTATTGATTAAAGGTCATTGTGCTTTACGCAGAACTTGAGTTGCAAGCATTATTGCTTCTCTATCTGAGAGTTGTAGAGTTCAGGACCTTAGGACTAATATATGACTATCGAATGAGCTTATATTCTTAAGTTCATGGCATTTATAGAACTAAAACTAATAAGCACAAACATTTTGAAAATTAGTCCAGTGAGCCAATGAGTGTTAATAAATATTGTGTTTAAATAACTTATATTGTTATGTTTATGATATTTATAAATCTAATCATTGTTGTTATTGAGGGAACGAGTTTCCGAAACATTAGTTTTCCCCACTATTTGGGTTTACAGTGTGGAGAGGCTGTGCGTGCTGATTCTCTGTTTTGGTTTCTCACTCCTGTCAATCACTTCCTGGAGACGGGCTTCTGGAGCTCGAGCTAAGTGTGAAAGTGTGCTACGTGACAAAGTGAATCAGGTCGTTGTTGAATATGGATCTATAATAATAACTGGATAGGGTATTACTAGCTTACAGCTGTCCCACCTACGGGCACAGGTGGTACTGCAGACTAAATTCATGTGGGCTACCCAGAAAAAAGTCCCATAGAACTCAATGTAAATTAAAACAGCTCGACCTCAGCTGACAGAGAACCTACAGCTTTCATAAACATCGGATTTTGTGGGGATTTTAGTGTCCCTTGTCATCCTGAACTTTTTTTTAAATCTTATTAAATCCTTCGGTTTTCTTTAAATCCACACTTTACTGCCACAAACTCTGCTCCCTGCCTTCCCGCTCTGGCTCCACTCTTCCGCTACTCTGATGAACAGCTCTGACTGGTCAAATCGCGGCCGAGCCCCTTTGTGCGCGTGCATGAAAGCCAGACACGCTTGTTTGGCGCGATGCATCATGGGAGATAGCACAAAGCATCATGGGATATAATCCACTGCACAGAACCGGGAGGACCAGACGATGCCCAAATATGGGCGAGTTCTGCTAATCTCCCGGTCTCCATGAAGTCCCATGTGCTACTGAGCACAAGCCATTCATCTGAATAGGGCGCCATCCTAGATCACCGGGGCTTGTTGTTCACCTCACCTCTTGAATGAACGAGAACGATCACTCTATCTCTCTCTAGAGCTTCAGGGAATCAATGAAAAAACTACTCAGGCAGTGAATGCCAAATAATACTGTAATGATGTTTAAACCAGAGAAAAGTCACAACGCGTAATATGGGACATTTCAAAATACAGCCAGTCAAAGTCCTAATGTAATGTTAAATGTTGGTCCCAGACCAAGTGTTTGGTCTATAAAAGAGTCCCCTCTTACAACAGAGCTACTCTGGACCTGACTGAGCTGGCTCTGGGGTGTGTAGGGAATACAGAGCAAAAATAGTGTGAAACCATTGTTCTAAACTACAATGACCTAGGCCTGGAAGTGACTTTTTGCCCTTGATCTCTCTCTCTGCAGAACTAAGGCTGGAGGCATATGTTCAGAAGCACTGATCCCCCATTGTCAGTCCTGTTTTAATCCTGTTTTAGGTCTGGTTTAGGTCTAGTTTAGCTCCTGTATTGGCTGTTTTCGTGTGTTTCGTCTTCTTGCTCTGACGGGCATTTGTCCCCGTGACCCTTTTGCGTCTCTCTGATTGGTTGCTGCACGTTTAGCCAGCGGAAAAAGTGTATTCTGTTTTATACACTCAGGGTTATTACAAGCATTTATTGGTCCATATATATAATCAAATTGTAATAATAATAAAACTATGAAATTCAAATATTGTTTTTTAGCCTAAGCCCCAGCCCTAGTTCAGAGTCACAGCTGCTCTAACACGGTTTTGTGTTCTATTGTCTCCGTCCACGTCACAAGAGGACATCAGCTCTGTCCACATCATTCTAAAATCCTATAAAACAAATAAACATAAGATCCTAAATGCACCTATTCAGTGACTCAGAGGCGGATCAGCTGAAAGGAGTGGCAGCAGCATTGTTATTGATTTGTTTGTGTTGTTTTTTGGGTGTGAACACTGCGCAGACCGTACAGTACGTGAGAGCTAAAGATAGACAAAGATGACGTTCAAAAGCATTTAGCAAAATGTAATCATCAATTACAGAAAAACACCACATTATAAACCTTGTTTATTTTTAGATTCATACACTCTTGGTGATAAAATAAGATTATCGTTTAAATATGAATCCCGGTAATCCAAGATGGCGTCCTATTCGAATCAATGTTTTGTGCTCAGAAGTGTCACCGTGGGCACCAAAAGATTAGCGGAACTCGCCCATATTTGGGCATCCTCTGGTTCACCATGTTTTGAGCAGTGGACGAGCCCCCATGATGGTTTGCACCAAATTCAGATGTGTGGCTCTCAAGAACAGAGGGGCTCGGCCGCAGCTCTAACCAATCAGTGTCTTCTGATCAGAGCGGAGCCAGAGTGGGAGACAAACCACAGCAGACAGCGTGTGGTGTTCTCTTGTCTATCACAGGTTTGTTTTCTATCATCATCATATAAATATAAGATCCTAAATGCACTGCTTCAGTGACTCAGAGGCTGATCAGCTGAAAGGAATGGCAGCAGCATTGTTGTTAACTTGTTTGTGTTATTTTTAGGGTGTGTACTCTGCACAGATTGTACGTGAGCGCTAACGATAGACAACAATGACGATCACAAGCATTTGAACATTGTGCAAAATGTAATCATCCATTAGAGAAAAGTCCCACATTATAAACCTTTATTCATACACTCTCAATTATAAAATCAGATTCACATGACATTCAACTATAGAGTCAAAATATTATGAAAATAATGTTGAAAGTCACTGTCCACGCATATCAAGCCAATTTTTTATTTTTCCTTTTCCCCATCAAAATAAAAAATGAAAATTCAAGCCATTTTTAGATATTTCATTTTCGATTTTAATATGAAAAAAACAATTGAACAAAAAATACACGGACACAGTTGGTAGTGTTACATAGCATGTTGGTCTATCACAGGGGTCGACAACTCAAAAGGTTCAAAGAGTCATATTTGACAAAAAAAACTAGAAACAACATCTATCTGGAGCCACAAAAAAATAACAGCGTTTTTATAAGGCTTATATGAAGGTAACTGATATTGGAATGTAACTTAAAGGAACAATATGTAAAAATCTGGCCAAAAGTGGTACTGCAGTCACAGTCAATATTTTGTAGTCCTCTCCCACTCTCCCTGACTCAGGTTGCCAGATACACACCAAATCCAGCAGCAAACACAGGGAATTATTTTATCAGTTGTTTGTCTGTCTCCATTCACATTGCCATGAGGCATGCTAACGGTGAATGAATGTTCATTTTTTTTTTTTTTTTGGACATATGAGATAAAAAACACAAAACAAAATAAAAGCAATGTAATTATAGATTATCCAAAATCCAAATTGGAGTTCTGAGTCTGGAACCAGACGGCAGGTAACTAAACTCTTCATGAAGAGGGTGAGCCTCATTACCCAGACTCCTCAGAGCCCTCCTTGTCACCTGACCAGTGAAGAGCTCAGAAAGTGGAGTCTGAGGAGCTCCCAAAATCTTACCACTCAGGTTAACTATTCCGCTGAGTGACTTTTTCCCTTTGACATTTAAGTTTCCAAACCAACTCAACATGGAAAATGTTGAAATTGATTTGTTAAACAGTCTCATTATCGTCCTGTCCACCTGGAAATAGGCCAGTTTCCGGAGGCAGAACTGAAGCTGCTGCCCTTTCTTACACAGAACATCTGTGTTTTCCTTGAAGTTCAGCTTGTTGTCGATCCATGTCCCCAGATAACTTTGGACAAGCTCCACTCTTTGACCTTTGATCACTGTAGCTTGAGGTGATGAGACTTTCCTCCGAAAATCCACACACATGTCATTAGTCTTAAGAACATTCAGCTGCAGGAATGAGTCGTCACACCACTGTATCATGTCCTCAACAACAGGACCATGCTCGTTTTCATCACCGTTCAGAGGAATCACAATAACAGAGTCATCTGCAAATTTAAGAATGTGATGATTTTCATGGCGGCTGTAGTAACGACTATGTTGAATGAGCTTGTATTGTTACGTTCATGGCATTCATTAAACTAAAACGGATTAGTACAAACAATGTGTAAGATAGTCCAGTGAGCCATAGAGTGTTAATAAATACTGTGTTTAAAGAACTTATGTTGTTATGTTTATGGTATTTATATAACTAATCTTTATTGAGGGAACGAGTTTCCTTAAGAAACATTAGTTTTCCCCACTATTCTGGTTTACATCCACACCGTGCCCACAGTCACGGTGTGGATATTTATTCTTATGTACCTAATTATATGTTATTTAGTACCATATCCTGCCAAAGCAGTGAAGCACCTATTAAGCTAGAATAATAGTCATGGTCAAACCAGCAGTGAGTTATGACAAAGGAATAAACAGGTTCATTGTTGTGTGATGTGAAAGGGCGTGGTGCGTTATCCAAACCAGAACGATCGTCAGAGCAACGGTCCCTCCCAAAGCACATCCAGTTTAAAAGGAGTCAGAAGGAGCAGCATCCATCAGAACAGTCACAGGTACCCTGTACAAGTGCATTAGACAAGAGAAAGAAAGACGCCTGAAGACATCTGCAGACATGAAGACTGCACTCAAGCTGCTGCTGTCCCTGGCCTTAGCCGTGGCTCTGTCCATCAACACAGGTGAATATCAGCCGCACTATAGTCCTCATGTACTCCTGCAAAACATGGCATTTAGACCTCCAGCCACAGGGGGCTGTGCTTTTTAAACATGTGATATACTAATGATCTTATAGTGCACAGAACTGATCCAGCGTTTTTCAGGAGCTCCATACTTTGTCTTTCAATATCTGCTTCAACTCAAAGGGAAAATACCATTTATTTTGTATAGGTTGGTAATGTTTAGGTTAGTAATGTTTAAGTTGGTTTGTTTAGATTGATACTCTTCAGTTCTCTAATTCTAATTCATTTGGATTGGTCATGAAATTACACAGAAATTATCTATTAGTTCACATGTGCTTTGTGGACTTGGAGAAGGCGTTTGACCGTGTTCCCTGGGGGGTGTCCTTTTGGGAGGTTCTCCGGGAGTGCTGGGTCCTCTGCTGATGGCCGTCCGGTCCCTGTAGGACCGGAGTCAGAGCTAGGTTTGTGTCGCCGGTATAAGTCGGCTGTTTTATCGGACTGTTGTGGTAAAGAGGGAGCTGAGCCGAAAGGAAAAGCTCTCATTCTTTGTTCCCTCTCTCACCTATAGTCTTTAGCTTTGGGTAATGACTAAAAGGACGAGTGGCTGGGCGCTCCCTTAGAGATAGGGTGAGGAGGTCAGTATCACGGGAGGAGATCAGAGTAGAGCCAGTTGATGTGACTCAGGGCATCTGTTCCGGACGCCTCCCTGGAGAGGTGTTCCGTGCATGGTGGATCTATGATCATTATTGACTTATATCTGGTGTTTTCTCTCATAGCAACAACTATAACTACAGTACCAGCAATAACTACAACTACAGCACCAGCAACGACTACAACTACAGCACCAGCAACAACTACAGTACCAGCAACAACTACAACTACAGCACCAGCAACAACTACAACTACTGCACCAGCAACAGCTACAACTACTGCACCAGCAACGACTACAACTACAGCACCAGCAACGACTACAACTACAGCACCAGCAACAACTACAACTACTGCACCAGCAACAACTACAGCACCAGCAACGACTACAACTACAGCACCAGCAACAACTACAACTACTGCACCAGCAACGACTACAACTACAGCACCAGCAACAACTACAGTACCAGCAACAACTACAACTACAGCACCAGCAACAACTACAACTACTGCACCAGCAACAACTACAACTACAGAACCAGCAACAACTACAACTACTGCACCGGCAACAACTACAGCACCAGCAACGACTACAACTACAGCACCAGCAACAACTACAGTACCAGCAACAACTACAACTACTGCACCAGCAACAACTACAACTACTGCACCAGCAACAACTACAACTACTGCACCAGCAACAACTACAACTACTGCACCAGCAACAACTACAACTACAGCACCAGCAACAACTACAACTACTGCACCAGCAAAAACTACAACTACTGCACCAGCAACAACTACAACTACTGCACCAGCAACAACTACAACTACAGCACCACTAACAACTACAACTACAGCACCAGCAACAACTACAACTACAGCACCAGCAACAACTACAACTACTGCACCAGCAACAACTACAACTACTGCACCAGCAACAACTACAACTACAGCACCAGCAACAACTACAACTACTGCACCAGCAACAACTACAGCACCAGCAACAACTACAACTACTGCACCAGCAACAACTACAACTACAGCACCTGCAACAACTACAACTACTGCACCAGCAACAACTACAACTACAGCACCAGCAACAACTACAACTACTGCACCAGCAACAACTACAGCACCAGCAACAACTACAACTACGGCACCAGCAACAACTACAACTACAGCACCAGCAACAACTACAACTACTGCACCAGCAACAACTACAACTACAGCACCAGCAACAACTAAAACTACTGCACCAGCAACAACTACAACTACTGCACCACTAACAACTACAACTACTGCACCAGCAACAACTACAACTACTGCACCAGCAACAACTACAACTACTGCACCAGCAACAACTACAACTACTGCACCAGCAACAACTACAGCACCAGCAACAACTACAACTACTGCACCAGCAACAACTACAACTACTGCACCAGCAACAACTACAACTACAGCACCAGCAACAACTACAACTACTGCACCAGCAACGACTACAACTACAGTACCATTAACAACTACAACTACAGCATCAGCAACGACTACAACTACAGCACCAGCAACAACTACAACTACTGCACCAGCAACAACTACAACAACTGCACCAGCAACAACTACAACTACAGCACCAGCAACAACTACAACTACTGCACCAGCAACTATTACAACTACTTCACCAGCAACAACTACAACTACTGCACCAGCAACAACTACAACTACAGCACCAGCAACAACTACAACTACTGCACCAGCAACAACTACAACTACTGCACCAGCAACGACTACAACTACAGTACCAGCAACAACTACAACTACAGCATCAGCAACGACTACAACTACAGCACCAGCAACAACTACAACTACTGCACCAGCAACAACTACAACTACTGCACCAGCAACAACTACAACTACAGCACCAGCAACAACTACAACTACTGCACCAGCAACAACTACAACTACAGCACCAGCAACAACTACAACTACTGCACCAGCAACAACTACAACACCAGCAACAACTACAACTACTGCACTAGCAACTATTACAACTACTGCACCACCCACTACCACTACTACTACACCACCCACTACCACTACTACTACATCACCCACTACTACTACTACTACTACACCACCCACTACCACTACTACTACACCACCCACTACCACTACAACTACACCACCCACTACCATTACTACTACACCACCCACTACTGCTCCTTCACCACCTACTACTGCACCACCGATTACTACTACTACTACTTCACCACCAGCAACTACTACTACTGCAGCCTCCTCTGCTGTGTCTGATGTGAGAATGACTTTGCTCCATTCTCTCTTGGGACTTCTCCTGATTCTTTTGTTGTAACTGAAATACATAATATGTATTATGCTATTTATATTAGTATGAGTCAAATGTATTTGTTATGTTCACCCTCAAACAAGGTCACGTTGAGATATTTTTTAGCTTTACCTCAAGATTCAAGAATTCATTTGCGATTTGCAGTAAAGCCACATTGGAAAAACTGCTGTTGTTAAACTTGAATGAAGTTCCAGAGACAACTTTGAGACCGACATGAATTCTGTTATTATTATATAACTATTTATTTATTTATTTATTATGCTCTAATATTTACAGTATATGTACGTAAAATTGTGATATCATTGTTCTAATAAATACAAGTTGATTTTCATCTCGGTTTTACAGCTGGATTTCTCAATGGCACTGCATAACACACAGATGACTATAGGAGACACACTCCTGTAACAACTGTACACATTGAAACAACTGTTCCTTTACAGCCACTTTTCGCAAAATACTGTTTAGCTACTGTCATGAGCAATGCATTGTGGGATACCTAACTTAAACCGTAAACTGATGTTTTAAATGACAGTAAACCGTTTTATTTTAAATGTCAGTTTTCAAGGAGGAATTAAGGAGTCTCTGAGTGGTTGTGTCGTAAGAGCTTATTGGTTCTTCAGCAGTCAGTGGGCTGGTGGGCTTGGTGATCCAAGAAAGATGACGGCCTATTCAAATCAAGGGGCCATCTTCACGACCCTTGTAGTTCGCTGACCTTCACACAAGAGTCTGGGTCTCCTTCTTACCAGATGAATTTCAGAAGGCGGATCTCTTAATCTTGTAAAAAAAACAACTTGTATGTGATTGGATAAACCACTTGTCTGTTATCTTGATTGACGTGTTCCTTCAACCACTCACATCAAATCAAACAATTTAGCAAACGGCTCCTCACTGCGTTGGAGGGTGGCCAAATGCAGGTGTTCTGTCGAGTTACCCCGCTTGTCAAGTTGCGCTGCCTCAGCTGTTTATGATGTATTTAAACCTGCGCATGCGCGTTTCACGCCAGCCGAAGCAAATGTCACTTAATGCAATTTGAGTGATGCAATTTGAGGCGAGATGTTGATGGTTCCATGTTGTTATATGTATCAAACATTCTATCGACCCCATTTTCTATTGATATCGAACATGTGTCTTTTGCAATATGTACTGTAATAAGTGAATCAGTCCAAACTTTGATGTCAAATTTTACATCAATATTTACAATTACTTTATACTTTATTTTGCACTATTTTATATTTTTGGTTGACAAGTAAGTACTGTATAACATTTTCATCGCACCCTGTACTATACTGATTGTATTGCTTTAAGTGAAAATACTTTCAGTATTTCTTTTGTAAGCCTGGTGGTCCATTAATGACAAAACAAATATATTGTGTTGATTGAAAACAAAATGTATGGGCTATATGCACGGGCAGGCGTGACGTCATTTCCTGTTAACAAAGAACAGCCCGTTCACTTCCTGTCTATGCTATCGCTATGGCTTTGTGGTGAGTTGTAGGCCCAATCCCAATGCCCACAGGGTGTAGACCCTTCACTTCTCTACGAAGTGTGCATTTGTTCGAAGTGCACGCAAGGGTTTGAGTGGGCAGGTTACAAGCGTGCAAAAAAGGCAGAATAGCGAACTATCTGAATGACGTCACTAAGACACGCCCCCGCCGCCTGTCAACTCCCGCCCACATGTTTCGGACAAACACTGCCAAAATTAATCAAATACCACATGTCACTTTAGACAAAAATGATGTACCAGGAGCAAAATACCACCATCAAACCATCAGGGATCATAGTGTAGACCAATTAAAACGTTGGCTTGAATGTCGTGGTCTACCAGTAGAAAGTTGGAATTGATAAAAAGGTGAGAATTGATAATGGTGAGGATTATGCTAACATTATCCTGTCATTTAAATTGCGATGCTAGCGCCTTCTTTGTTTATTTTGCTGTGATTAACTTTCATTTATCAAGTTGTTTTTTGCACTATCCACTTTGTAATTAGTTTGATCATTAGTTAGCTCCTGTCAGCCGATATTATAATAGATCCATGGGGTCACAACGGGATACGCCACTACTGTCTCTGATCAGAGCTCTATCAGAGCTAGCCACACTCAGTAAACTCAAATGACAATCAATCGACACATTTAAATGTTAATGGGAGAATATATTATACATACAGTCGAAACACACGTGCACGGAGGTTTTCAGAATTATCTGTTAAGAGCCTCACTGTTACTCGCCTGCCACGGGAAAACCTTTGAACTACTTTCTTTGCACTCATTAAATAAACCTTTCGGCATTAATAAAAGTGACAGAAGTTTATTTTGTGTGTTCAGTTCGTACAAAGCCGTATAATAAGCGGACCCCGACGCGCTTCGTCTGTACTTATTTTCCAATAGTCACGAAGTTGAAAAAATCCCTCTCATCTTTCTTCAGGTGTGAGAATTGTATACATTCTGGATTAGGACAAACAATACTAATATGGATTGATGGGGTAAATGGTATAAAGAGAAAGTTTGTGCTAACTACATTCAGAAGAGCTCAGACGGACCTGATACAGCGGTCCAGATCCAGTCCCAGCTAAACGTAGCTAGGACTGGATCTGGATGCTCCACAAAAAAAACATGTGTCCTTTTTAACATTTTCATGAGAGAAATTCTGCCGACCACAAGCACCCACCTCTTGCACTTGTCCTGGTCTGGTCCTGGTCTGGTCCTGGTCTGGTTCGATGGTGTGGTTTAACGAACGGGTTGAATGTTACTGCTTTCATATAGTCCTTTTCAGAGTATCTGAAATCGCTCCCACAAGTACCATAACTGCAGTGTTTTGTTGTCAACATGATTCAATGATTTAGTCCAAGTAAATACACACGCGTATGTGGAGAACACAGTAGTACTCAACGGAGTCGGACACAATGTTTGTCCGAAACATGCGCGCATGCGCAGTCATCAGAGATATTTTTAGCACATTTCGGAAACTGGACAGTGCCCTATTGGGACAGTGCACACTGAGTGCAGGTTACGTCATTGACTAAACTTTATAAAAATTAAAGGTCATTTTGTCTGAACCTGTGGGAAACAAAATTAGTTGCTCCAGACACGTTAAAAATACATGTATATTGGTTATTCGTAATTTTAGATAGCTGTATAATTTTAAGTTAAATGTGGGTAACTAACTGTTATCTGGTAAGTTTTTATACATCCTAAGGCAAGGCAAGTTAATTTGTATAGCACAATTCATACACAGGGCAATTCAAAGTGCTGAACAAAACAAAATAGCATTAAATCATAAATAATCACAGTACATTAAAAATAACTGTTTTTAGACTGTTTTTAACCAGGTTTACATTGTCAGAGAGGAGGCCTGTCTCACACTTTCAGGAAGATTGTTCCAGATTTTAGCAGCAAGAATCTGAAAAGCAGCCTCCCCATGTTTAGTTCTGACTCTGGGCACTAACAGGAGTCCAGTCCCTGTGCTCCTCAGAGTCCGGGCTGGTTCATATGGGACTAACATGTCACTAATATATTTTGGTGCAAGGCCATGGAGTGACTTGTACACAAGCAGAGCTGTTTTAAAGTCTATTCTCTGAGCCACAGGAAGCCAGTGCAGAGACCTGAGGACCGGACTAATGTGGTCGTACTTCCTAGTTCTAGTCAGGACTCGAGCTGCTGCATTTTGTAGTACTGCAGCTGTTTTACAGCCTGTTTGGACAGACCTGTGAGCAGGCCATTGCAGTAGTCTAACCTACTGGAGACAAATGCATGGATAAGAATCTCCAAGTCTGCTTTAGACACTATGTTTTTGATCCTGGCAATGTTTTTTAGGTGGTAAAAAGCTGCTGATGTTACTCATTTGAAGTGGCTATTTCTTCTGCTTATTTTTCACTATTTTAAC